CCATGATCCACCTGTGCAGGCTTCCTGACTTGTCTGGACAGTATACAAAAGAGTTGTACCTTAATCTTTCTAAGAACACTGTTCTCTCAAATTAATTATCCCATGTACATTAAGGAACAAATGTTTTTGTATTTATTGTATTTTATTTGGAATCCAGAACTGTGTAAAGAAGTAACATGTAACTTCATGTAAAGAAGTTAATATTTGTGTGAGAAAAACAATGCATAGTAATATTATTTTTAAATATTCCAAGGACAAATAAGCCTGATGCCCTTTAAAAATTAAAAGTGAGTCTGCTTCTCTGAATGGGATCACAATAGGCATTCTCAGAGAGAGTGGGAGAAAAATGTGGAACAAAACGCAAAACAATAAAAATGATCAGGCTTACTGGTTAGATGAAGACTGGCTGAACCCCTGAGATTATGGCCCTTCGACATCCCTCAAGCCTGGAACTGAACTCACCGCCATGGCTCAACTTTCAGGCAATCCATAGACAGCCCAGTAAGGTGAACAGTAACACTAGAAGGGTGTGCACTCATTAGGACAATAAACCATATACCAGAACAAGAGGGCACTATTTGCCCAGGGATAGAGTAAGGAAGACAGAAGGGGATGGGAAGGATGAAGGAAGGAGTAGACCTGGGAAGGAAGTGGGAGAATGCTGTTGCATCATGGAGATTGCAGAGATGTCACAAAACAGAATGGGTATGGATTGTTGAGCAGAAAACCAATTTTCTCTGTAAACTTTCACCCAAATCACAATTTAAAAAAATGTGAGTCTCTGCTTTACTTGTTTATTGCCCATCTTACCCACTAAAAAAGCATCAACTCCATGAAGGCAAGCCTTGTATGTCTAGTTCACTTCTGTGAACCCAAGACAAAGTATACAGGCTGACCCATAAAAGAGTTCCAATGATATTTTAAAGAAAAGCAATTCACTGGAAAAGGCCAGCCTTGACATAGACCACAGACCATATGAACAAAATGTAGTACATACATACAGCGTAACAGTACACATCCATAAAGAGCAATGAAGTTCTGATATATGCTACAACATGAATGAACCTGGAAAACATTATGGTAACTGATATAAGTCAGATATAAGGGCCAGATATTGTATGAAATATCTAGAATAGGCAAGGCCAAGACTAGGGACTTGAGGAAAGGGGAAAGGGAGTCACTGAGTTGAAGGGACACTGAATTGGAAATAGATAATAGTGACGGGTGCACAGCATCACAATATGGTGAATGTAATAAAAGTCACTGAACTGTACACTTAAAAAAGGCTAAATAGCCACACACAAAAAACATGAAAGAAAGAAAACAAAGAAATTGAAGGTGGCAAATTCCAGTTCTGGTAACTATAAGTAAAGTAGCATGTATTTACCTAACCCTCTCCTAAATACAGACAAAATACAGAAAACAACTCTTTGAAGGCACTTGAGAATAATCAAAAGCAGGCAACTGGGGACAACTTGACCCTTAAAATAGGAAAAAATATACTGATGGAGAGTTCCATTTATATGGCATTATATAGGCATAACTATAGAGGAAAGCTATGAGATCACGAGTGACCATAAGCAGTAGCATCACTAGGGGAACACAAGGGGGTGTGGCCACACTGGATGACACTCAGAAGGAGATGACATCAAAATGACTGTCTATAAATTTCTGTTTCAGCAGAAATTTATTATTTTTTATTTAAAAAATATATCTCTATAGTTAGTTACAACAACAAAAACACTTTTTGTAAGCCTGACTTACATGCATCAATATACCTACAAAGATAAAATTCTTGCTAATTTAATTTTTTGAACCTTCTAATCTCAAAGGAGCTCTGGTAGCACAATGCTCAGGCATTTGACTACTAACCAGAAGGTTGGTGGTTCACACCCACCAGCCACTCTGTGGAAGCAAGAGTGGGCAATCTACTTCCTTCAAGATTTTCTGCCTTGGAATCCCAATGGAGGTCGCTATGAGTAGGATCGACTCACTGGCAATGAGTTTGGTTTTTTTTTTTTTTTTTTTGGTAATGTCCTCAGGTCATTGTTGTCATTATTACCCAATTACAATGATGCTTCTAATTGCATCATTGTTTGAACAGTACATGTTGTTTTCACTGCTGCCAGTGGGTTTATAGTCACTGATTTTGTCAAATTTTCTGGTGTTTTAGCTATAATATATGGTAAGTAGTAAACCTATATTAATTCTTTTTTAAAAATGAAGTAGTAATCACGGAAAAAAGAAAAATCAAAAGTCTTCCACTTAGCTACTAATAATGCTATAATTCAATTAGAAAGATTGGCAAAACAATTTTGCTGTTTGTATTCATATCAAAGAAATTATATTTAAGCAATTTAAAACTACATTTATCACAGATTATTCTATTATTAAAATTGATAATAAATATTACTAAGGATTCTGTATGATCTGGTGCATGAGGAGTCTATGGGTGGGGGGTGGGGAATGACACCATGAGTTATCGCACTGGGTGATACCAGCCCTAATGGTGCCACTGACCATAAGTAATCACTTACAGTGCAGCCCACCTTTTGCTGGACTTCTACAATTTACCTTTCTTTTCACCATCCACCCTTTATTCATGTTCCATCTCTCACAAGCAATTCTGTTAGGTAACCAAAATGTCCACATTATTTATTCAAGTCTAGACCTAAAGCCACCAAAGATAATGAAACTGAATCTTATAGTAAATTTACATTAAGTAAATTTATGTCTTTATAAGAAGAGAAAGTTTCTAAATTTTCCCAAAATCCTTCTTGAAAATTAGTCAATAACTATATCAACAAAAATACACTGTACTCCCAAATTTTTTCACTTTTCAAAATATTTCAAACTTTTTAGTTGCTCTTCTTTAGTCTTTCATACTGTGCCACTGGGAAAAACCCTTTTAAAAAGAGAGCGAAAAAACAAAGAAGGAAACCATTTAAAATTTGTTTCCAGTATTATACAGTGTTATTTGGATCTAAATGCATTGTCCTTACACTTCAACCCCATCACTGAGCTGATGTTCCTCCTAAGTTTTGGGGAACAGAGCTCTCACTGTCACTATCTCTACTCTCCATAGGATAAGCACTGGGCATTCCCCAGATTCCAGAACCATGTGCATCTCACTGCTTCCCTCCCACACACAAGTGGCAGTAGTTCAATTTGGCAGTTTATCAAAAAGCATCAGAGTATAAAGCACTTGGTGATCTTTAACCAAATGCATCTGCTGCATAGACAGCATATGCCATATATAATCTCACATATTATATCAGAGGGAAAGATAAACTGCATAATCCTAGAATTCACATATTTCTCTTTAAAATAATTTACTTTTATTGAGCTAAAAAGGTTGGTTGACTTAGTTTAAAAAAAAAAAAAAAAACTCCATCTCATGCCAATTACTGTTCCCTTCTAAGAACGACCAACTGTTTACAGGAAGTTTATAGAAACTATGAGTTTGCTGGACTTAGAGACCAAATGGGAGCTCTGGTAGCATAGTGGCTAAGGCACTTGACTGCTAACCAGAAGGCTGGCGGTTCAAATCCACCAGCCACTCCTCGGAAGGAAGGTTGGGCAATCCTACTTCCGTAGTGATACTGCCTCGGAAACCCAAGGAGGGGTCGCTATGAGTCGGGGCCGACTCGACGGCAAATAACAACAACAACAGAGACCAAATAGAAGGGAGAGTGGAATGAGAGGAAAGAGTTTAATATGACTTGTTGACTAAGTGACGGTAGTATCAGGGCAGAAAACACAGGGGAAAGATAGATCTGAGGTGATGGGGAGCAGGTAGGAATGATGAATTATTCAAATCATCATGGGCCTCATGTTTTCTATATATTGTGTGATAAATTCCTACAAAATTTAAATTGTACATAAATAATAAATCCCCCGTAGCATACATTTGCTCTGAAGATTGTTATGGCTTGTACAGATTTTATAATTATTTAATTAGCAAAGATTTCTTGGTTTCTTTAGTTAGGCACTTAGCTGTCAACAAAAGGTTGGCAGTTCAAGTCCATCCAGAGAAACCTCAGAAGAAAGGCCAGTGATACACTTCAAAAAAATCAACCATTGGACACAGTTCTACTCTGACACACAGGGGGTCACTCTAAGTCAAAGCTGACTCTGAGCAACAGTGTATTTTTAGAGGGGAGGGGGAATATTTGCACATGCAAAACATTTCACAAAACGATACTGCCTTGGAAACTCAAGGAGAGATTGCTATGAGTCAGGTCCGACTCAATGGCACATAACGATAACAATAACAAACAAGAAAATTCAGTTTCCTTTTCTTCTCCAAATATTTCCTTGCAGCAAGCTGATATATGCAAAATCATTCCACTGATTAAAGTACTTTGAGGCTCTTTTGAAAATAACCTGAAGATGAGACTTACACTGAAAAGGAAATTATTGTATTATCAAAACTAAGTGCATCAAAAGGTGAAATAAATACTTTTATTATGTAACGTTTGCACAGCACCAACACAATTTCTGCAGTTTCTTCCCCCACCACTAGTCATAAGAGAAAAACGTTTAGCAAATCTAGACCTGCAGAAAATTGAAAAATAAAAAAGTACTTCTGAAGTGGTCAGGTCTGAAACTTCTATCTCCGACTGCTTACAAGGAACTTTATAATTTATTTATGTATTGGTAAATATGTCTTCAGCTTCATTAGTCATTTCTCATTATAGTCTATGACAAAATATATATATATATATATGCTCTTCTCATTGTTTATTACAGATAACTATGGCTTGATGGGGTAAGAAGTTGCCTGGAGAGACTGAACAACTGAAAGAAAAACCAGGAGTGGGACACTGAGCCTTGGAGCTGTCTAATGAACCATTCTGCCTCACACTGCTAGTTCCTTAAAGCTCTATGTAAGACTAATAAACTGAACCCAACAAAAACAAAATGCACACAAATCTAGCGTACTTAACTAACACCTCAAGGATATACGATCTGCTTGTGGCCAGCAGTGGAGTACTCACTTTCTTTGCGAACTTCCTCAAGTGCAGCAGTAAGCTCTTCCTTTAAAACAGTGGCTTCCTGGGCAATCTTCTCTCCCTTGTCTAATAAATTCCAGGTTGCTTCCTCCACAGAAGCTAGAAGAACTCTGGCTCTTTTTGAACGTCCTTTTTTCCTATTGGAAGGATTCTGGGGACAATTTACAAGTGTGGTGACCTAAAACAGAAAATTATAAATCACTTACTAGATAAATTGTAAGAACACAGTCCTTGGATATCATAGCCTAGAGCAAAAGGAAATACTTCACAGTAACGTAATTCATTCCCTGCACTGTTAGTACATTTCCAAAAGTCAAGTCAAGGTACCAATAGAAACAGCATCATCCACCACTGTGTTTCCAACTGAAGAGAGACAAATAGATGGTTGGAAGGAAGAAAGGCCCATAAAGACTATTAGAGCAATGCTTCAAAAAACAGATTGTTGTACCAAATGTGAGTGATCAACATGGTGGCATTGAGGAAGAGGAAGACATAGAGAGGTACATAGGAGGTGCAGAAAACAAAGATGAACCTTTTTGCACATATAGTACTGCGTTGTCAGTGAAGGCAAAGACGGGTACACAGGTGGATAGATGGGTAGACTGGCTGAACTATTAGGTATGTCTATGCAGCAGGGAGTGTACCCAAGTTCATGTGTACGGTTGGCAGACAATGGTTCTACAAGTGTATTTGTATGTTCTGTAAGAATTCCCAGGGGTATAGTGGAGCTGACAAGGGACAAGGGTGTAGTCACTTCATGGTGACCAAGCTGGCCAGCTACCCAGAGGGAGCAAGTAGTTGAACCTGTGGACTCAGGACCATAGTCACAGGGGACATCAAGCTCAATTGGCATAATATACTACACAGGGCATTGTTCCACCTCCTACTTTGGTGAGTAGCAACTGGGATCTTAAAAGCTTGCAAGCAGCCATCCAGATGCAGCAATGGGTCTCTCCTCATCCAGAGCAGGGAAGAGTGAGGAGGGCCGGAGATTCATGGAGGCAGTTGGTCCTCATGACTGGTACACGATGCGATCCTCAGCCTATGTGACTACAAGACCAGAAGAACTAGATGGTGCCCAGCTACCAATGTCAACCACTCAGAGGGGGATCTATGTAGGAGATCCTTGATAGAGAGGGAGAACAAAGTGGAACAAAACTCAAAATCATTTGGAAAATAAAAAGAGGGGGGGATCAGGTTTGCTGGTCTGATAGAGCCTAGTGCAACCACTGAGACAATGGTCCCTAGCTGCCCTTCAGGTCTGGAATTTAACCCACACCTATGGCTTCCAGCCAAACAAAAGACAGACATATGAGTTGAACATGTACATGAGGTAGATACATTCCTTGGAGAGGACAATCATGGGAGAAAGAAGGGCTGTTTATCCACAGGGAGACAGTTCAGGGGGCAGGAGTACATGGAGGAATGGACACAGGGGAAGAGGTAATTATCAGGAGGAAGTGGGAGGGGAGCTGTTGCATTGGGGTAAATTGTAGTCAATGTCATGAGACAGCATGTGTGTGAACTGCTGTATGGAAAGTGAATTTGCTCTGTAAACTTTTACCCAAATCACAATTTTAAAAAAAAAGGCACTATAAATGCAAAAAAAAAAAAAAACAACAGATTGTGTGTATACTGTTTTAATTATGGAAATTCCAAATAAAAAAAAATATAGAGAACCTTGATGAAACTGTCAAAATGAGAAAAGTAGAAAATTATATATCTAAAAAATATCAGATAATTATAAGGTAAAATTTATATCATCTTGTAGCCAGTAATCCATATTAAGGTGAAGGTAAAAAATAATAATTAATCAGTAAGCATTATGCTATTTAAATTGAGACTAGAGATCACTATTATTAAAAAAGAGAGAGAACGGAAAAAAAACACTCCAATACACACAGAATAGTAGTTCTCTTAGAGAAACTATTATGGATAAATTTCGTTCCCAAAAGGACAGGCTGAAGGCCTAACCCACAGTACCCCTGAATATGACCTTGTTTGGAAAGAGAGTCTTTGAAGATGTTATCAGTTAACATGAGGTCATACTGGAGTACTGTTGTTGTTGTTGTTGTTGTTAGGTGCCATCAAGTCATCTCCAACTCATAGCGACCCTGTGCACAGCAGAATGAAACAACACCCAGTCCTGCACCAGCTCCGTGATCCCTGCTATACTTGAGCCCATCACCGCAGCCACTGTGTCAATCCATCTCGTTGAGGGCCTTCCCCACCCTCCACGACCCTCCACCTTACCAAGCATGACATCCTTCTCCAGGGAATGGTCCCTTCTGACAACACGACCAAAGTAGGTGAGATGAAGTCTGGCCATTCTCGCTTCCAAGGATTATTCCGGCTGCACTTCCTCCAGGACAAATCTGTTAGTTCTTTTAGCAGTCCATGGTACTTCCAGCATTCTTCTTCAGCCCCACAACTCAAAAGCATCAATTCTTCTTTGGTCTTCCTTTTTCGATGTTCAGCTCTCACATGCATATGAAGTGATTGAAAATATCATGGCATGTGTCAGATGCAACTTAGTCCTCAGAGAGACATATTTGCTCCTCAGCACTTGAAAGAGGTCTTTTGCAGGCGACTTGCCCAGTGCTATATGTCATCTGATGTCCTACTGCTGCTTCCATTGTCATCGACTGTAGAACCAAGCAATGTGAAGCTTTGACAACTTCAATCTTTTCTCCATTTATCATAATGCTGCTTATTGGTCCAGTTGTGAGGATTTTTATTTTCTTTATATTGAGATGTAATCCATACTGCAGACTGCAGTCTTCAATATTCATCAGTAAGTGCTTCAAGTCATCCTCACTTTCAACAAGCAAAATTGTGTCGTCAGCATATGACAGGTTGTTAATGACTCTTTCTCCAATCTTGATGCCACATTCTTCTTCACATAGTCCGGTTTCTCGGATTATTTGTTCAGCATATAGATTGAATAAGTATGGTGAGAGGATACAATCCTGATGCACTCCCTTCTTGATTTTAAACCATGCACTATCCCCTTGTTCTGTTCAAATGACAGCCTCCTGGTCTATGTACAAGTTCCTCATGAGTACAATTAAGTGTTCTGGAATTCCCAATCTCCTCAATTTGTTATGATCCACACAATCAAAT